GTGTGGAAACCACTTGGAGGACAATTTAAAGCATCTCACACTACACTTCACTGCCTTTTGCAAAGCTGAGACAATTCTGCAGAATTTGGCCATGTTGCAGGCAGCTCCTTGGAGTCCCCAAGCCAGAACTTGGGGCGGAGATTCATTCCTGCCTCTGGGGGTGTTCGAGGGCTCCACTCCCCTCTGCCCCCCCACTGCCCTTGCCCTTCTTTGGATCCCTTCAGCTGGCCCCCCTCCTTTTGCTCTTCTTCTTTAGCCAGCCTCCTGCCACCAGCAAAGTTGGCACGGGCCTAGGGCCATGCTCACACTATAAAGCCCAGACTCCTTAAGGTGGCAGAAGAGAGGCTTCACGTCCAGCCTCCAAGGCCCAGCCAGTCCCCCTCCTGCCCACTATCCAGTCATTGGCCCGCCCCCTGCCAAGCACATAGGCCAGGCACCTGCAAATAGCTGTGTGTTTGTCCCAAATGCAACCCCCGCCGTCCCTGCCCCCCACGTCCTTGCTCATCTCCAAGATCCAGCTCAGGCGGTGACCCTTCTGGGGACCTCTGAATTCAGCCTTCATGGGTAGCCAGCCGTTCCTGATGTATGTGGTTGGAGACACCAGCCTAACGAAACTCACCCCAGAAAAGGGCACTGTGGTGCCATGGTTTGAATGAGTCCCCTAGAGCGCATGCATTGGACACCGAATCCCCAGTGCTGCAGTGTTGGGAGGTAGAATCCCAGAGAGGAGATGAGGCCACCCTCCCCTCTCTATCTGATCCACTAGGTGATATATTAATGCCACTGTCTTAGGAGTGGGTTTCTATGGACCACTTGATCGTGGACTTCCAACCTCCCAAACTGTGAGAAATACATCTCCATTCTTTATATATTACCTAGTCTAGCTGGGCACAGTGGCTCAGGAGACTGAAACAGGAGGATGGCAAGTTCAAGGCCAGCCTCAGCAACTTATCGAGGCCCTAAGCAACTTAGTAAGACCCTGTCTCAAAATTTTAAAAAAAAATTAAAAAGGGCTGGGGGTGTGGCTCAGTAACAGAGCACTCCTGGTTTCAAACCTCAGACCTGAAAAAAATAAAAGCTATAAATGACCTCATCTCAAGTACTCAGACTGAAACACATGGCTCCATATATTTGTGCCACAGTACCCCATCTCTGCAGCCTTTGCAAGTTACACCAGCACACTAGATGCCACCAGCCTGAACAGAACGTGCACTGTGGATTTAACAACTGTAAACTCATTTAAGCCCCAGAACAATCTCATGAAATAGGCACCATGAATCACCCCCAACTCCCACATCCAAAGTCTCCCATGTGACCATTGCTGATAGGCACCCCGCCTGCTCGCTCCAATCCGTTCCACATCCCAGAGAATCCCACACTTGTTTATGGGTGTGACTTTCTCAGCCAGCCTCTGAGCTCAACAAGGGCAGAGACTGGATCTGAATCATCTCACAGCCCCCAGCACCCAGCACCTAGTCTGTGCCCAAAAGTCACTTCTTGAACACAAGGCACGTGGGGACCAAGAGGCAAGGCCCAAACCTGCAGACACGAGACACAGTGGGGACCACAAGGCCCTGTTGGATGGGATTATTCACTTCCTTGGGGTTTGCTGCGAGCTCCCTACTGGCCAGAGGTCCTTGGCCCTCATGTTGGAGTCCCAGGTGGCTAAATGCCCAACCTGGGTAAGTTTGCATTCCCAAGAAGTGGGGAGTGGAGGTGAGGGGGTCTCAGACCAGGCTCCTGTGGCATTCAAGTCTCAAGGTGACCTGGTCAGGGCCCTCGGGGGAGTGAAGCAGTAGGAGATTGATTCCATCTCCAGGGAAGAAACTTAGGAAAGCGAGAGCTCAGTCACCAAGTCACATGCAATCAAGGTGCCCAGAGTGAGAATCCCTATTTGGCTCCAGGAGCCACGGTTTTCATTGGCAGGCCCAGGCTCAGACCCACGAGGGGGCTGTGGAATCCATTTTCTGAGTCCTGGTAAGCATACTTTTATGAACTAGATGGAATACAATAAAAAAAGAGAGTATCACATATGGACACAGTATCATTTTGCAAAACTCGTTTCAGATGTGTGTGTGTGTGTGTGTGGTGTGTGTGTAAAATCACCATATAAAAGGTTTTTCTTATTATGGGTCATGATGAAAGAAATCTCGAGAAATCCTGTTCTCAGTGTGGTGTTTTCCAAACCTGGCTACAGGACAAACCACCGGGGACGCCATTAAAATGCAGATTTCCAGGCAGAGTGGCGGTGGGCTCTGGACATGAAACTTTTTTATCTCCTCAGTTCATTCTGGTGAGCCGAGCCCTGGTATGCACCTCAGGTATGAGAGCAAGACCTAGCCAAATGGTGAGACCCAGTGCAAAATGAAATTTCTGAGGTCTTCATTCTAAAAGTAAGGAAAAAAGCTGTCATCCTAAGTACTGAAATAGAAAGCTCTTTTCTCTTCCATCTGTAGTTTCTGTCTCTTGACTTGCCATTTATTTGCTATTTAAGGCTGTGTTCCCTCTGGCACCAGGACATGCTTGGGGCAAGTGCAGACCCTCCCAGCGTCCCTCCCAGAAATTCCAGAATATGCACTCCTGGGAACACACATCGCACCAGCCAAGGGACCTAGGCACATGACCCCAGCCATCTCTCCTTTCTAAGATCCACCTTCTTGCAATGGACAGGCAACCCCAAGGCTAATGCATCTGCTCAAGAAGATGGGCTAGAGGTTTCTAGGTCTGGCTCCTTGGGTGCAGGGTCCTTGCCCAGATGCCCCCAAGCCCATTTCCAGGACTGCTTGTCCCAGGCCATGCTTCAAGGACAAACCAGCAGTCAAAGTGCCCACTCCTTGGCCAAAGGGTGACACATTGTGATGGGTGTGGACTGAGCTGGGGGTGCAGATGGAGGGCTTCATGGGTCTGTGGGTAAAGCCCCTCACGGTGTGGGAAGAAACCGAGGTAGAGGGTGGACTGGGCTGGCTCCCCACCTGCTTGCCTTTTTCAAGGGCAGAAGCCCGGGGCATTGAAACAATCCCTTCCAAGTCTCAGTGGAGACTTCCCAGTCCATCAAATGTCAGAACGCGGTCCCCAGGTATTACCCGCTCCATGGAAGTCATCTCTAGCTCCTCTCGGGTAGTTCCAGGCTGCAGGGGCCTCCAACCCCCTTCCCACACGTTCTATTTTAATTGCAAAAGTAAGACATGAATGTTCCTTGTAAAACATGCAGGCAGAAGGGAAATGGGGTACGTTTGCCTCTCAATATCTGCTGGGGATTGACTCCAAAACTTTCACCACCACCACCACCACCACCACCCAGGATACCAAACTCCAAAGCTACTCCAGTCCCTTATATGTTCTATGGAAAGACAGTCTGCTATATAATTTAAATCATCTCAAGATGACTTAACAATACCTACTACAATGTAAATGATATGTATCGAGTCATTGCCTTGTGTGGTTTAGAGAATAATAACAAGAAAAAAGTCTGTACATGTTCAGAACAGATGCAAATTTTAAAAAAAAAAAAATCTTAATCTGAGTTTGGTTGAATCTTCCGATGCAAATTTGCAGATAAGAGGGCCAGCTCTGGTCCTTGGGTCCAGACCCCAGGTCCCTCCATATAGTTAACTTCTGGAAACAGTTTTCTAAAAACTCTTTCTGTGCACTAATATACTTAGATGGATATCTATTTTGTTTTGTTGTGTGTTTTCTATAAATGAGATCATGCAATATTATTCTGCAACTTGAGAAGTTTACCTATTGCACTGCTCCCTATGCGAGTGGACAGAGACCACACTCTCGTGGGTGTTCCAAGAATTCTCCTAATAGAAGCCTCTAGAAGTATTTTCAAACAAAATGGGGGAAACAGAATTGCGTGAAAACTTATGCAGAAGTACCTTTAGCCTTTCCCGGGTCCCTCCTCCAGATGTGAAGTGGTGCCCAGTAGGGCATTGTGGGAATTCGTCGTGGGAGATCTCGGGTTTGGTAAATATCAAGGGGCAAAAAGAACAGGGACCTCCTATCATCAGCAGAGTAGAACGGAAGGCCGCTTCGGATTTGGAGAAGGAAGATATGGGATCAGCCCCAAGTTGCCATTGAACTTGGGAACCCTCTCTGGGCCTAGTTCTCTGTTGAAGGAAAGTTAATACTTTAATAACTTAATTAAGTTAACGGATTAAAGTTAATTGGTTCACGGATCAGGAGCGGGAAGGCACGGGTCCAGGCCGTGTGTCCCCGCGCGGTAGCACAGGATGCGGGTTGCAGTTACTAAATGGGGGACAGCTAAGTTCCAGCGGAATCGACTTGAGCGCCACCCGTTTCCTTTGCGAATTCAAAAGCGGGAACCCACTCAACCTAACAGTCCGGAGGTGGCCAAGGCGCCACCTGCCGGCGGAGGAAGAGGAGGCCGGCGAGTACCGGCCGCTTGGGCTGGGTGACCCCGCTCCTTCCCGGACCCCTGAGGCGGAGACTTCGGATCCGAGGAGGCTCCACATCCCTGGGTGGCCGGAAGGTCGCAGCCTGGGCTCGGTCCCAAAGACTGGACGGAGTGGCCCCGCTGGTGTTGCGGAGAGGTCGACAGGAAAGGCAGGGGACCCAGACGCACGGCCTCGGCAACCCAAGGAACTGCTCCCCAACACAAAGCCGCGGCCGCGCAGGTGAGCGCGGCGGGGCCACGTGAGCCGGGGAGCAGAGCCCCGAGCCCCGCGCCTCGCGCCCTGGCGAGCCACAGGCGCCCCCTCCGCGCGTCCCCGCCGCAGGTTTGGACGACCTCCACTCGGAGACCCGAGCCGAGGGGCGAAGGGTGGGAAAACCAGGCAGCGAGGGAGAGTGGGCGCGGCCCGAGACCACCGAAGTCCCCGGCGCCCCAGGATGCGGCCACCCCGCCCCGCGGCCCCGCCGTCCCTCGTTCCAGGCGGTCCCGGTCCCCAGCCCCTGCACCCCAGCACCGGATCACCCAGCCATCCCTCGCTGCGGTCGCCCGGCGCCCCCAGGCCCCGCTGCCCCGCGCTACTCACCGGCGGCTCGCGTAGCCGCTTCCAGGAGAGCCGGCGCCCGGCTCGGGGTAGCCGTGCTGCTGCTGCAGGGCTGCGGCCGGGAACGGGTAGAGGAAGCCGGTGGCCAGCGCCGAGCCGCACAGGCAGCAGCACGCCCACGGCAGGAGCAGAGCCAGCTTCATCTTGAGCGATCGCCCGCGGGGACCCGCAGTCCCCGGCGCGGGGACTACCAGGGGCGCACTGGCGGCCGGACCGAACCCGCGGCCCGGGCGGGAAGCGGAGGGAACCGGCCACAAGCGAGCCTGGGTCCGAGCTGGATGTGTCTGGGCGGGGGGCGCCCACGCCTCTCCAGGGCCGGCTTTTCAAATTCGGCGAGGTGGGCTCTGCGCCGTCAAAGGGGGCGTGGGGCTTTCTCTTTAACCCTCGGCAGCCCGGGGCCGAGGAGGCGACAGTGGCCTCAGAACTGGGATGCAAAACTCTGCTGGGGGTCCCGCGAGCCGAGTACCCCAAACACCAGACCTCGCTCGCAAGGGCTGGCGGGGCGGGGGAGGGGGGCGCATACACGTTTCAGAATCTTCCCGCACTTCGGTTTTGCAAATGCGCTTTGAGCACCCATTCTGTACCTTAGCGATGTCACCCCACAGTATAGTTAAGCCCCACGACACTGTTCTAGGTAGGAAGTGATACCACGCCCACTTTTCAGAGGTGGAAACTGAGGCTCAAAAATGTTCAACTAGAAAAATGCATGTCTTCTGACTCCTTACGCAAAGTTCTGGTTACACCAAGGCCAGTCTGCTAGCAGAGCAGCCGACAGGGACTTCCCTGGAAACTTATAGCCCTTTCACCACCAAGCCCTACCTCACAGCTCACTCATCAAGGTGAAAACCGGTGGTTCCTGAGAAGATGTTCTACAATCCCACCTTTTACAGATAGAAAAGCTAAGTTCCAGAATCCCCACTGTGCCCAAAGCCAGCCTGGCCCAAATTGGTCTTTCCTGGGCTATGGGATTCCCACAGTGCTTGATACTCCCTAAGGCCCCCACAGTGGAGACAGATTATACTGGAGATCCAGCCTGTTTCCCCTCTCCAGATTAACTGTGTTCCCCTCTCCAGATTAACTGCCCCCAAAGCATCCCAAGGGCTGGCTCCAAATCATCCCCGAGCCCCTCCCCCTCCCCTACTAAGAGTGGGAAGCTTCTAATCTGCAGAACACCTATAGGACCGGAGAGAATTCATCCAATAGGGAGGTGCCTGCTGGATCACAGCACATTTTGTAAAAGGATTGCTGGATTATTGCTAGAAGATAGGAAGATGCTGTTGAGAGTGTGATGGGACAGGCCAGCTCTCAGGAGTTGCCATCTTGTCACATGCCCTGATATGTCCCCATAGGTACATATACCATGTATACCCTCTGGTGCGCATATCCAGAGATATCATATCTCCTCCACCACCCTGTTCACTCAATTCCCTTAAATCCCAACCCTTCCCAAGTCCTTGGTCTCTGTCTTGGAGGCAGGGCTGGTCCTGTGAGCATGTACACCCCACTAACGGGAGCTATAACTTGGACCAAGGACCACTTCCTTCCGCTCATCCTCCATCCCTCCCTCAAGGTCTAAAAGATTTGGAGAATTTGGGTTATCAGGGGGTTTTCAGTGCCTCCCCCAAAAGGAATCTGTGCTCCTTGGGAAGCTGGCCAACACCTAACCAATGAGGTCATTCCCCCCAGGCTTTGCAAACACTCTGCCTTCCACCTTCCCTCTTGGACTTGCATAATGAAGTCAGAAAGACCAGAGAGATTCCGCGTTGCTGGAAGCTGCCTTGAATGTATGCTATATGCATTACAGCAAGGAAACGAGAATTTGTTTTTATCTTAAACTCATTTTTTCCCGGTGCCATGGGCTACACCCAAGACGGAGGAACCGAGAAGTTTGGGCTAACTCTACTCCGTAAAGCAAAGGATTGTGTTAGGATGAAAGTCTTTGTGGGGGGAGAATGAATGCATTCTAGAAACTTCTGTCCTCTTCTTCCTATCTGGGACCCCTAATTTAATTCGGGCCCACAGATGTTTACCGGGCAGCTTCTGTGTATCTGGCACCATGCTGGGGGCATCACAGAAATAGCCCAGCCATCACCCTCAAGGTGATTGTTCTTTAGGAAGACATTAAAATGGGCCTTTTTCCTTAAAAATAAAAAAAAACAGCTGACAATCTGAACAGATGTTGTGCAAATGAGGGGAGGTTCCATTTAGACGATGCAGGATAAATAGAGAAAGATGCATGAAATCAATAAAAGAAATGTGAAGTTACCCACACCCCCCAAACACAGAGCCCCAGATCTGCTCCGGATCCCCTGCTGACTGGCTGTGTAATCTGGAATGCTCACTGACCCTCTCTGGACCTTCCCAGCTTCTTTATTTGTAAAGCAAAAAGGGTAAGCTGGCTTGTCTCAGGACTTTCCAGCCAATCTTCCATAATTTCTCTTTCCTCCACTCTGATCTTTAAGGCAGCTGTGGACACACGCAACTGTGGATGGGTCACTCCTGTAGGCAAACTTGATAGCTACAACACCACCCAGTAGGGTTAGGGAAGCCAACAAGAATGGAGAAGGGTTCAGTGGCATCCCATTTGCCCCTTCCCCAGAGAGCACCAACCGGTAGAGTCCAACCCCACCAGCATCAGCTGTGTGACTTTGGACAAATTGCCCAACCTCTCTGAGTATCCTCATCTATAAAATCAGAAGAAGGATAACAGTCCTTGATTTATAGATGTGCTAAAAACATCAGATGAATTATTCACATAAAATGCTTGGCACATTGTAATACTCAATAAATATTTATGATTATTATGATTTCTAGGGCTTTGGTGAGATATGAAATTGGGGGATACCACACATCTCAAAACCCCCACAGTGGGGCCATCCAATGTGTTCATACCCAGGAGTATTTGGAGCTTTCTCAGAGGACAAAACTTGGCATATCTTATCCCAGGGTCAACAATTTAAATTGAAACTATTTTAAAACAAATATAGAAATAGCATTGAGTAGAACATAGATTTGCATTCTTTTTAGAGATAAAATATGCATGTGGTGGGCGGCAAAAAGTGGGAAAGTTTGAACAGCCCTTAAATAAAGGGCTCCGTGGGGAAGCCCTGGGAAGGACGAATCCATTTTCTGCCTGAGAAGGTCGGTTGGTTGCGGCTGTACCTATAGCTGCCGCCTCCGCCCCGCCGCGCTCTGAGGCGCCTGGATTCCGACTGTGCGCATGTACTTGGGTCCGTGTATTTCTAAACTGTCCTTGGTACTCCTAAAATGCACGCTCCCCCTTCTTCAGAGGCAGAAGCCACTGTCTCCAAAAATCCCAGGAATCTAGCATCAAAGAATGAGAGTCATGTCCCAGCTAGAAGCAAGGGTCTTTCTTATTTCCTTGGTGACCTTCAGCAATCGCATAATCCCCAAACCTGGCCAGGATAGGAGCTGGTTTTGCTGCAGACAAAGTGCTTTCTCTGCCCTCAGCTCTGACACGGGCAGCGCTCTCACATAGACAGGGCAGCGATTCTCAACATCCCCATTTCACAGATGGGAGAAGAGAGTTACCAGCAGCCGTGGGCTCCCTGTTGTGGAAGTGGGGGAAGCCAGCACCCCACAGATGGCCAGTTGCGCTGTGGGATTGGGGTTTCCATGGAAGAGAGCAGGCTGCAGCAGAGAAGCCTGCTCTTCTGCTTCTAGGTCTTTGTGATAAGAGAATCTCACCAGCACCCTCTGCAGCTGACAGAACACACATCTTTGCTTCTGCTGAAGTCAGCAGAGAGAGCCACTGAGCGGAGAAGTAAAGACCCATCGGAGCTGAGGCCAAGGTAAATATTGACCTCTTGGCATGATAAATCCTCCTGTTAATCTAAAACAGCACTCTCCCCCACTGCCATCTGCCCTGGATTGCCCTCCAGGACATGGATTCTGCAATTTTCCCAGAAGTTCAGGAAGGCAGTAGTAGGAGCCGGGTGGTTTCAATACAGAGTCCTCCGGCAGCCGGGGGCCCCTAGCTGCTCCGTGCCCCCAGCTGCTCTGTGCCCCCAGAAAAGCCTGGGGATATGCTCTACTTAACTCCAGGGAGCCAAAGAGTCACACCAAAAGGACTTCAAGACTTTGCTCCTAGCATTCCATACTTGGCCAGGGAAAAACGCCGGCAGAACATAGATCTTATGGAAAATTATCGGAATTTCCTTCTTCACCTAGGCACCCCGAAATTCCACCAGGCCCCTGTGAAATAAATGCTTCTTCCCAGTTTCCGCAAGCATTGGCAAAGATCTAGAAGATCAGAAGGCAAATGAGAGGGCTACCACATAGTCCATGATCTTGGACAGTTTCTATTTTGGTACCGCGGATTGAATTCAGAGGCACTTAACCACTGAGCCCCATCCCCAGCCCTTTTTGGTATTTTATTAGAAACAGGGTCTCACTGAGTTGCTTAGGGCCTTGCTAAGTTGCTGAGGCTGGCTTTGAACTCACGATCCTCCTGCCTCGGCCTCCCAGCCTCAGGACAAGTGTGTGTGTCGCCGTACCCACCTTAAACAGAAATTCAGAGGGGAGAAAAAGAAGTGTTGAAAGTACAACTGAAAAAATGATTTAAGAACTTGTAAAAACTGGAGCCCATATTGGAAAGCCCAGCTCGAATGTGGCGATAGCCTCACGGAAGTGGCCAGAGGTAAGCAGATGCTTCCTGGGAGCTTAACAAGATCACTTCGTGGAAAATGAAGAGAGGATGGAAGATATAAAACAGGGAGAGGAAATGCTCAGGGAGCATTGCCCTGTCGGCTAGAGGCTGTGCCCTGGCCCAGGAATAAAGCCAGGAGAGTGTAGGGGCCGCCCTGGGCAGGAGCTGTGTACACACCTTTAAGTCCTGAGTCAAGAGGGACTGGACGGTATTGCACCCACTGCAAGACAGGTGGACTTTACCTCCACTTGGATAAGAAAGGGGCCACTCAGGGAGTGGACGTCACCCGATGGGGTAGAATCACACCCACCTGTTTACTGTAATCCTGTCCTTTTGCCCTTTTGTGGATAGAATGCTCCATGGATCAGCTCCTCCATTAGTAAAACCTGGGTCTGAGGCGTGTTCCCTCTCTTTCCAGCCTGCCTTGCCCCCCTTATGGGAGCTGTGGTTAAGAAGTGGTCACTGAACCCCAAG